AATTAAAAATAAAAAGTTAAAAAAAAAGGAAATAGTTAACAAACTTTAACAGTCAAGGATAAAGCTAGGAGAATTGACTAGGATTTACAACAGATAAAAAAATTTTTCATTCAAAGTTTTATCTTTAAAATATTGGTGAAATCTTGAGTTATCAAGAATAATTTACTGGGGGAAGGGAGGGAAAAAAACCAAAAAACAAAAAAGAACAAAAAAAGGATAAAAAAAAAAAGAATGATTTACCAGTTGAATTACTAATGACTCAAAGCTTACTGAGTCTTTTCTTTGGAAGCCTGTAATCTAAAGTTGATCGATCTTTTAGCTGGTATCTGCTTTACGAAATAATAATTTTCTATTGATTCCAAGAATTGATACACACCACTAACTACTCTGTAGTAAAAGAAAAATGAAAAGGCAGAATAATTATTCGTGGTTTAAGAAATCTCAAGGACCATCTCCTAGGCCGGGCACAGTGGCTCACGCCTGTAATCCTCTGGGAAGCCGAAGTGGGAGGATCACTTGAGGTCAGGAGTTTGAGACCAGCCTGAGCCCTGAGCAAGAGCAAGACCCTGTCTCTACTAAAAATAGAAAAAATTAGCAAGGCATGGTGGCATGCACCTGTAGTCCCAGCTACTTGGAAGGCTGAGGCAGGAGGATCACTTGAGCCAAGAAGTTTGAGGTTGCTGTGAGCTAGGTTGACACCACGGCACTCTAGCCCAGGTGACAGAGCTAGACTCTGTGTAACAAAAAAAAAAAAAAAAGGACCATCTCAACCAAGAAAGCCTATCCTAATTCCCTCTGATCTCTTTAAATAATCATTATGCATTTTCTTAGATAAGTTGGGTTAGTGTCTGTAGTAACCACAACCACCTTCTAGGGAAACTCCTACCCCACAGCCACTGCAGAGAAGCAGGACTAGGCCAGAGCAGCCACTGCTAGAACAAACACCTGTGAACACCAGATGCAAGGGCATGCACTCTACAGGCCAACCAACCGCCATGTTATGACCAACCTGACCTTCTTAGGAGATGAACAACAAACTTATTACAGTGACAAAAAAGCAGATACTCAATACTTCTTGACTAGTCAACTGACACTATATGTTAACTGATGTATGGCATCTTGTGTGCATTGGCAGTAATGCCTCTCCCTCATGCCATCAATTATCAAAAGCCAGTGATTTCTAAACAGGATACCAGAGGTGCCTTATAAGCCACCTGGTGGTGCTGAGGCCGTTGTGAGGTAGAGAGTCAGGCCCCCAACATACATACACACACAATTTAGTCTTACCTGTATAGCAGGCACTATGACTCAGAAATCTGCAAATTTTTCAAATTCCCAGTAAATAGTCTGCACTGTGGATTTATTTTTTTATGGAAAAAAACTTTAAGAATAGTCAAATCTACATTTTTTACTATCTGACTTCTCTTCCTGCCCTTACTCTTAGAAAGTCTTTTCCTAATTTCTTATCAGTTAAATCCTTGTTTTCTAAAGTATAGCATACATGCCAGTGAAGATATTATATGGTATATAGACCTTTTTATTTTTATTTATCTTTTTTTTTAGAGACAGGGTCTTGTTCTGTCTCCCAGATTTGAGTATCATGACTTGATCATAGCTCACTGCAACCTCCAACTCATGGGTTCAAGCAATCCTCCTGGTTCACCCTCCTGAGTAGCTGGTACTACAGGCACATGCTACCACACCCAGCTAAATTTTTTAATTATTTTGTAGAGATAGGGTCTCACTATGTTGTCCAGGATGGTCTTAGACTCCTGGCCTCAAATGATCCTCCCAAAGTGCTGGGATTACCGGCATGAGCCACCGTGCCAAGCCTCTTTTTTAATTTTAATAGTTATATATACTGTACTTATTTTAATGTGTATTAGGAAAAAATACCTAACACTCAAAATCAAGGGAACATGTGGCTCATATCTATAATCCTAGCACTTTGGGAGGCCATGGTGGGAGGATTGCTTGAGGTCAGGAGTTCAAGACCAGCCTGCACAAGAGCAAGAC